GGCTACCTTCGAATACTTTCCTTAACTGTGGTATTGGCAATGGCCGCAATTCACGTTTCCGAGTCGCTCGATGCCGCTTTCCAGATGGCTGTCGCTAAATTCGCAGCATCCTTGACTGACGAGCAGAGAAAAGAATTCCGGGGATGCTCCTTGAAGGAAGTCGAGCAAACGATCAAGGACGTTGAAACCCGTTTGGCTTCGCAGCGACGTCAGCGAAATATGCAGAAAATCTCAAATTTCCTCGAGGGAATGAACCAACTAGGAAAGGTCATCGAGGTCTTTGTCAACTGCGATTCTACTGTAGCCTTCATTTGGGGCCCAATCAAGTTTGTCCTGCTTGTAAGTCATCTTGAAGCCCCAGCACAATCATGAGCACCCTTGGCTTACATGTAGTCTTGGGCTCATAGGCAGTAGGCACCTGGTGCGAGACACTTGACTGTCTTCTCGACACATATGTCGAGATTGGCGAGTTTCTGCCCGGATTATCACAATATACGACGCTTCTTGAAAAGTACCCTTCCCTCGGCATGCTTCTGGAAAAATACTATAGCGACGTTCTCGAATTTCACCGAAATGCGCTTAAAGTCTTCTCAAGACCAAGGACGTACAATTTCCAAACTTCCGGGATTCCTCTTGGCCATGGCTGCTAACATTATGTCTCATAGGATGGAAGATTGTCTTTGATTCGGCCTGGAAGACTTTCAGAGCAGAATTTGGGCCAATATTGACAAAGCTCAAGCGACACCGAGAGCTCTTGTCAGGCGAAAGTCTTACAGCTCTTGTTACCAACGTCCACCAGTCTGTTCAGTCCATCGAGGACAAGGTTGACGCGTTGACTCGCGAAGTTCAACGTCTCCATCTTGTAGACAGCGAGAATGCGGATCGAAAACGCCACGAAGACATTCACTCCAAGCGTCAATTCGTCCTCACTAAGCTCAAACCACCAGATTACCATCACGACTTCGAAAAAGCTTTGAACGAGCGATGCGATTCTACCTCTGGAGATTGGCTCTTGGCCGACGACAAATTCAGGGGTTGGGCAGATATGACTACGATGAAACCAGGGGCCCTTTACGTGAACGGGATACCGGGTTCAGGTAAGGCACTCACCGCTAAAGTACATTCCTGTATCCTCCGCTGACCTTGTGCTCCAGGCAAAACAGTTATTACGTCCCGAGCCATCCAATATCTGGGACAGCTGCGAGAGAATCGAAACGCCAACGGCCTTGGTCCTCTGGTTCTTTATTTTTCTTCAGGCACAGCCAGAATGACAAGCGCAATTCGTTGCCTTGCTCCTTTCTCTACTATCGCAGACGCTGCTCCAGGATGAAGTGCTGCTCGACCTGATTTACCAGCGCTGCATCTCCATAGACCAGCAAATGATCACGTCGGCGTATGCTCTTCGCGAGCTTGCGGACCTAGTCTTGCAAGCCCAGAATATGTGCTTCATTGTTGTTGATGGTCTCGATGAATGCATTGGAGACGATGTTGGGAAATCCCAGGTCGCGCAAGGCCAGGTTATTGACTGGCTCGAGTCTCTTCGCAATGTCAGCAGTGAATCCAGCGACAGTTGCATGCGCCTGCTCATAAGCGGACAAAAGAACGGATTGTTGGATGAACGTTTGAAGGATTGGCCTTCGGTTCAACTTGACTCCTCTCTTCATCACACGAAGGACATCCAAATGTACTGCGAGGTTCAAAGCCTTGAAATACCGCAGGAATTTGAGGACATAGAAGGTATAGAGAATATAAGGCTGGATATCATCCACAGAGTAACCTCGAGGGCTAGAGGTGAGTGTCTAACTGGTCAACAGAGTTCAAGTGTGTTCGACAACAGACGCTGACAGTGGACAGGCATGTTTCTTTATGCCAAGATCGTGCTTACCAACCTCCTGGATCAGCCGTCGTCTGCTGATTTTGAAAGGGAGCTCGAAGAGCAGAACTTTCCTGATGGCTTGGATCAAGCGTATGGCTCCTGTCACCCCGTCACCTTGGGAACACTAACCAATAGTACCACTCACAGTTATGAGCGAGTGGCTATCCATGTTCTGGAAAATGCTTACGAGAAACGGTACAACGTGGCAAGACGTATCCTCAATCTCGTGATTTGCGCTGAACGCCTATTGCGCTGGAGGGAAATACGGAGCCACTTCTCCATCGATATCCAATCCAAAACGGCCAATCCGAAATCACATCCACGAAAGTCAGCTAAGCACTACTGCGGCTCTTTGGTTGAGATCTGCCAGAAGGATGAACATCGGTCTCAAAGTGTTGGGCCAGAACCTGAAGACGTGTTGGAACTCGTTCATGAGACAGCCCGAACGTAAGCCAATCTGCCCGCAGTCATTCTCTCTCCTAGTGCCCTTCAAGGACCATGGTGACTGAAACTTTCTGTCAGGTACCTGTTGCAAACAAACCGGTTCCGCCTGGACATTCTGAATTTAGAAATGGCCCGGTTTTGCGCGCAATATATGTACTCTTCGCCTTTCGATCCCGACATAGAGAACACTGTTGTCAAGACGCACTGCATGACCGGTTATTATGGGTTCATGGACTACGCAGCAGCAAATTGGTGGAAACATGCAAGACGGCTCGAGGACTCCGCGGTTCACGTTACCCTGGGGGCTATTGTACGTCTGGCAGGTGCTCTGAATCCCGAATACAAGTTGGGGCTTGATGATCCAGCAAACGACGTGCCGGCGATTTGGACTCGGATGCGTCAATATTCCGACAACAGCAGGGACTGGGAACGTGAATTCCCCATCCAAACCCGCATACAGCTCATCCGTTCCTACTTTGATGCGCTCTTTGTTCCAGGAAATACCCAAAGCTCTGTGGATATGGACCGACTCCGTGAATTTTATGGTTCCCCGAAATATAAATGCTCGAAGCCATGGTGCGCCTTTTTCCACGACGGCTTCAAAACCATCTCTGCCCGCGACAATCACATCAACCAGCACAATCTTCCCTTCAGATGTAGCACTGACGGTTGTTGTCGCTTCCAGATAGGATTTGCAACTGAATCTGAGCTTGTCAGACACAACCAGCGTCTTCATCCCGCAGCTGTGTCTGTGGAGTTCCCATCCAGACGACGTGGCAATATCTTCAAGGCGGCTGCCGAGGGCCAGATCGAGGCAATACAAGTTCTTGTTGCACAGGGAGCCAGTGTCAATGTTCGAGATAAGGACGGATTAACCCCGTTATTCCTCGCTGCCCGTGCCGGAAAATGCAACGTTTGCCGATGGCTTCTTGAGCACGGCGCCGAGTTGGAAGCACGGTGCACGGAGCAAAGCCTGGCAGCTCTACATGCTGCGGTGGCTAATGATGATGTTGAAGTGGCTCTCCTGCTCATTGCGGACTATGGGGCAAATATATTTGCCCGCACCGGAGCCGGGGAGGATCCGCAAACTGTGATCGAGCAGGAACACTCCACAAAACTGCGTACGGCATTTCCAGCTGAGTTTTGGATCCCCAATCTCTCTACTATAGAGCAGCCCAGACCTCAACGACCTTTCAAGAAATACGGGAAAAGCTGGAATGTTCTCTTTCACCAGACGGCCTCGGATGGTCTGGATGTGGATCTTGTGCGCACACACACCAGGGACTCTGTTTCTTGCTTGAAATTTAGTTCCGATGGAAAATACCTCGCGTTGGTTAATGACATGGGACGGTCATCAGAGATCTATAACGTTGCTAATGGCGATTATATCTGCTCCTTCCATGACCACTCATACGGTACAGTAATCTCTCTCTGCTTTACTCCAGATGGTAATAATCTGGTTACTGGTGGTTAAAACCATGCGATGAAAGTGAGTATAGTTTCTGCAGTTACTCTCGTCAAGAATACTGACTTGTCTAGGTCTGGAACATAAGGACCGAGATTGGTCATACGCTTCACACCCCTGAGCTCCATGACGGAGCTGCTCGCTTGACGTCGCCCGGGATGGACGTATTATAGTGTCCGGTAGCTGGGATAAAACGATCAGAACATGGGATTGTGATCTCGAGAATCTTGGTTTCGATCCCCTCCGCTTGAAGCTGACATGTAATATTGGCGCCGTGGTGTCAAAGGTCGCCATTTCGCCCGATATCAAGCTCGTGGCGGCCGGCTCCGAAGATAAGAAAACGCGGGTGTTTGATATCAGAACTGGCGACCTTCTCTATTGTCTCAAGGATCATCAGGGCCCCATCTTGGACGTCACGTTTTCCCTCAACGTGGGCGAACTCATCACCAGCAGCGCCGACAAGACCATCAAGGTGTGGGATCTGAACTCATCGCACTTGACGGGCCAGGGCGCCGGGGTGTGTAAAAGGACGCTGTACGGCCATGAGGTACGTTTTCAGAACACCGAGAGTCAATCGCACGTCTGAAGTCAATGCCACTAATACAACTCGCATGACAGATGTCCGTTTTCGGCGTCGCGGTGACACCTGATTCCAAATGGGTGCTCTCTGTCTCTTATGACCAAGGCGTTCAGTTTTGGGATATACGGACAGGATACTCGCAATTTGTTCTCCACGGACATGAAAGCCGAGTCACATGTGTAGCCGTGTGTCCAGTGGCAGGACCCAACAACGGCGGCTTGTTTGCCACGGCCTCTAGGACCGAAGTGCGTATATGGACATATACCACCGAAGTCCAGTAACACGCAGCCCCATGGTGGAGGATGAACCGCATTTTACGCAAGCTCTTCTAAAATCTCCTCCGACGCCGATAGATCGAACCCATATACAAGTAAAGAGAAAGTAATACTATATTATATAAGACCGAATCCCGTTCTATTATAGTAAATAGATATAACGTTAGATATTTAATTATAAGCTTTATATAAAATATAATAAACCTTTTAAATAATAATATTTATTTCCTAAATACCCCGTACTTAATAAGATGATATCTTATTTACGCATTCTATTGTTTCTTTCTTATCTGATGATGAGCTTTAAATGTTGGAAGCAGAAAAAAAAAGGCTGAGACAAAAAAAGAAATAGAAGATATACGACGTGGGCCTGATTCGAACAGACGCCCCCGAAGGGACTAGATAACACGAATAATTCGAGTCTAGCGCATTAGACCACTCTGCCACCACGCCGGATATTGAGTGGGGCTAAACTTGAGGGTTATATATTGGAACAGCGGGCCCACACTTGCGTTCCGGACTCGCGGTGTCTCTCAACCCTCATTAAACCCATCCATCAACGCATTTCCTCAATCCGTTGGACTTCCAAGTCTCATTCAAATAACAACCGTGATAAATTATCTATCCCTTCCAATCTGTTGCAACGGAAAAAACAAAGAGCAGCATTGAGTTACTGTGTGCTGCCCCTGTCCCGCACATCGACGTCATTGCGCGCACGACACACCTTCCGAATCTGGCTTGTTCACACAACATCTCACCAAACTGCCCCCACCACCAATGGAATACCGCTCCCTTTCTTCGACCACAACCTCGGCAGCACTTGTGCCGATCACGATCCTTCAAGCCAAGCTCACTTGGTATAACAAACAAGCCTTTCTGTCCTCCGTGCCGCTTAACCCGTTCGTCACTAACAAGAGCTGTCAAAAAGCTTGGGTAAGCGCCTCCAGAGCGGATACTGTATACGCAGTACGAGATGGAAATTTTTGAAAGTCGTCCAATGTAACGGAGATCGTTACCACGAACGGTCTTTCCGCTACTACATCAACACATAAGGTATGGATTTGTGTCTTTTCGGGGATATCTACGGTACCATGGGAACATGACCTGCAACCCTCATGCCGATAAGCAGAATGACGTCGACATAGCCGGCCGCCGCTCACAAAGGGGCCCACGGATGCGAGCCGGCAGTCATGCCGTCACATCGAGTCCGATGTTTTCTCCATGAATGCAGCAATTCTTTGTGAAGATATCGAGGGATCGTCGGAAGCCTTGTAGGTGATGGTGTATTTTGCCCGGTTTGTGTCTTTTCGTTGGTTGATGTTCCCTTCTTGGGTAGCCATTGGGATTATTCAGTGGTCTGTCAGATGACGGCAATGGGTGCATTATCTCCTCTCTCCGGGGGACATGCAGTGTGGCCGCCGTGTGTATCCGTAAGACATGCCAGAAGTCTGGGATAATGGAGGGTAATTACTCGTTACCACAAGATATATATGACCACATCTCTTTTTGTCTCCCGCAAGACACAAGCTCCTTTTCATTTCCTGTCTCATATATCAAGACTTCTACCCAGCTTAGTAGGAGGACCCGTCTCAGGTTGCGTGCATCTCCAGTGAGACACTCATCAACATGGCATCCGGGACAGTCAACAGTACAGATCCCATACGATCAGAAAAGGATTCTCAGCATCGTGCGAGTTTGTCGGGCTCAGGGGCCATGTACGAACATGGTGACAATGCAGGGGGCTCTTCCAAGCCAGCCCCAATCGACATGCCAGTCACAGATCCCCTCGCAGCATCACGGAAGCTAGCCCATCCTCTCGACGGCCTCTCCCCGGAGCGTCTAGGGACGATGGGCGAGGAATACGCCAGAAAGGCAGGCCTCACCAACGACGAGGACATCCGTGCCTTCAGACTGGGCGCCATCATCGCCAGCAACGACTGCAACTACGACGACGTCAAGGACCTGACCGAGCGCGAGCGAGAAGTCCTAGACCGAGAAGTCACCCACAAATGGTCCAACCCGCCAATGTTATACTGGATCGTCGTCAGTAAGCTTTATCCCCCAACTCAACCCAAACAAATCCACACCAAAATTAACCACCTCCCAAAAGTATGCTCCCTATGCGCCGCAGTCCAAGGAATGGACGAAACAGTCGTCAACGGCGCGCAATCATTCTACAAGACCCAGTTCGGCATAGCAGGCACCGCACCGCGCGACACCTGGCTCCTGGGCCTCACAAACTCAGCACCATACCTCTGCTGCGCGCTAATCGGCTGCTGGCTCACCGACCCCATGAACAAAGCCTTCGGACGCCGCGGCACAATCTTCATATCCTGCCTCATCTCCGCGCTGGCCTGTTTCCACCAGGCCTTCACCAACACCTGGTGGCACATGTTCCTCGCCCGATTCTACCTCGGGCTGGGTATCGGCCCCAAGTCCGCGACAACCCCCATCTTCGCGGCGGAGTGCTCGCCCCCCAAGCTGCGAGGTGCGCTGGTGATGCAGTGGCAGATGTGGACTGCGTTTGGGATCATGATGGGGTACGTGGCCGATTTGGCGTTTTACTTTGTGCCCGACCATGGGATTCAGCTGGGTCTAAACTGGCGACTCATGATGGGCAGTGCGATGATTCCCGCCGTGCTGGTGTGTTGTCTGGCCTATGTGTGTCCTGAGTCTCCGAGGTGGTACCTCACCAAGGAGAGGCACAGTGATGCCTTTGCGTCGCTCTGTCAGCTGCGCTATGAGAAAGTCCAGGCGGCTAGGGACTTGTTTTATATGCATACGCTGTTGGAGGTGGAAAAGGAGACGATGGCGCTTAGCAAGGGGAGTCGGGTCAAGGAGATGTTTACGCTGAGGAGGAATCGGAATGCCATGGTTGCTAGTAGCGGGTTGATGTTTATGCAGCAGTTTTGTGGGGTTAACGTCATTGGTAAGCCCCCTTTTTACAGTTCTTCTTCTCCCAACATATACTGACAATGAGGTAAGCGTACTACTCGTCCGAGATATTTCTTTCCGCCGGTATAAGCGAGGTCGGCGCGTTGGCAGCATCCCTGGGCTTCGGTGTGATAAACTGGCTATTCGCCCTCCCAGCGTTCTACACAATCGACACCTTTGGCCGACGAAACCTCCTGCTCACCACCTTCCCCCTCATGAGTCTCGCACTGCTATTCACAGGCTTTTCCTTCTGGATCCCAGAATCGTCGTCCGCTCATATCGGATGTATCGCCCTCGGCATCTACCTCTTCGGCATAGTCTACTCCCCCGGGGAAGGCCCCGTGCCGTTTACCTACTCGGCCGAAGCCTACCCGCTTTACATACGCCCCATAGGAATGAGCCTGGCCACGGCGATCACCTGGTTTTTTAATTTCGTGCTGGCGGTTACCTGGCCTAGCTTGCTCCAGGCGTTCAAGCCGCAGGGGGCGTTTAGTTGGTATGCGGCGTGGAACCTGGTCGGGTGGGTGTTTGTCTTGTTGCTCGTGCCCGAGACCAAGGAGCGCACGTTGGAGGAGCTGGATCGGGTGTTTGATGTTTCTTTGGGGAGGCAGGTTAGGTTTGGGCTTGCGCAGGTCAAGTGGTTTGTGGGCAGGTGGTTCTTGGGTCGGAAAGGGCTGCCGAAGCCTAAGAGTCCGGTTAAGGGGGATGAATTTGATGATGATTATTATAATGGGGCTTCTGGGTCGGGGTCGGGGTCGGGGACGGGATATGAAGAGGGGGAAAAGGAGAAGGAGGTTGCTGGGTTTCAGCATAGTGAGGGGCGGGAGAGGGCTGTTAGGGAGGGGGCGAAGGAGAGGGAGGATCCTTCGACTCGGGCTTGATGGGGATGAATGTGTGAGGTTTGTTGTTTTGTTTGCATTGATGAAAACGGGGTGGTTATTCAAGGATTTTATTCTCAGGTAAATATGTGTGTTTTATGCTTTTGTCACAAGAAGATGCACAAATGAAGAAAAGTACAGAGCTCAGTAAACTGTGTGTACTCGATCTGTGTATGTAGCTATGTATGTATGATTCATATGTAAAATGCCGGGCGAATACAAAGATGCGAAAGAAAACCAAGGCTCAAAAGAATTCTCAAATAAATAAAAGATCAAAGATTAAACCAGCTGATACATGTAATGACAGTACTTTCGCTCCAAGCTCATACATGCATGCCAAGTAAACAAACAAACAAACAAAATATCCAAGATCGAACCAAATAATTAGGTAGTCTAAAGGTACATGTAGACAGACTTGAATCCAGTCCAGTCAGCAAGCCGGAAAAGGCGCAAGTGAAAATGTCGGCCACGGGGCAGCACCTGTTCCCTAAACAGGCCTGGAAGCGTAGCGCATGTTCCCTACTCGCGGGTGGTGGTGGTGGTGGTCCTGATACAGCCCGTTGATGTCGGTGTTTCGCTTGGTTTCTCTGTCGATGGTGTCGTTGTACATGTCATCGTCGTAATACGTCGGTGACATGGATGTTTTTCTTGGCATGATACTGCTGTTTAGGTAGTCATATTGTTGTTGTTGTTGTTGCGGGTGTTGATTCATATCATAGAGATCCTTGGGGCTCGCGTAGTAATTCCCCGGGGCCCCAGCAGCAATAATAGGTGGTGGGTTCCGAATCAGAGGTGGTGGTGGGGGCGGAGAGGAAGGTGGCGTGATGATTGTGACCTTCTTCTTAGGCTTCATGTTGGTGCTGCTGCTAGGGCTGGGAGGAGAGTTGACGAGGATGCTCTGACGGCGGTGCTGCTTCTTCTTCTTGTCTTTGCGGCTACTGCTCTTTCCGGAAGAAGAATCCGAGGATGATGATGACGAGGAGGAGGAGGAGGATGATGATGATGAGCTGGAGGAAGAAATTGCCCGCTTGACGGCATCGTAGAACAGGCGCTGGTAGCTCTCCATACCGGGTCCCTTGGGGAGGTAATGTCTGGGCAACGACCGCGGGACCCGGACATAGCCGCCTCCATTGGTGTTGTCGTCAATATCGAACGGGATGGCTTGGATGACTCGCTGCAGCCGGCGGTGCTCCTCGTCGGGAAACGCCCGGATGGTCTTGATCAGGAACTGGGCGAATCCGAGACGGGTGAGACCGGGCGTGGAGTGTCGTCCGTCGTACTGGATATAGTCGACGCCGAGGTGGTCATAGACGGCTGCGATGCGTTTGTTGCTTGTTTTGGATGAGAAGAGCTCGCGAAAGGGGAGCCGCTCGGTCTCGATGGAATAGCAGCTGTAGAATTTGAACATCTTGTCGGGCGTAATGACACGTGTGTCGTAAGGCGCCCAGTTGTTTCTCTGTGTTGTACCCGTCTTGTTAGCAAGTCATGTTCGAGTAATTAAAAGGACTGTACATCAGAAACTTACGATATATCCTCCGAGCTTCTTCAAGATGTGCTCCATCCTCTCGGTTTCCCTCCCACGCGAGTCGAAGAGGACGCCCCATGATGCTTCATCCGAGTACGAGGTGCGCGTGGCTGAGC